AAAAAAAAAAAAAGAATGAAAAGTTAACATAATTCTCTAGTTGTTTGTATCGTATATAATTGAATTTATTATCTTTTGGCTTTATGTTGTCGATTTCAGTAGTCCTCTGTTATCAGTTAATGAAGTTACATTTCTTCTGCTTGCTACAAGGCTTAAACTAATGATAGCAAAACATTCGATTATTCTTTGTGCCTTGAAAGTATCTAAAAAAATAACCCAAGTAGAACTCTTTCCAGCCTTTTCAAAGAAAGCATTTTCCATCCTTCCCTTTTTTTCTTTTGTTTCCCATACACACACACAAAGAAATTTTAAAAGCTATTGAGGGAGGGTGCGTAGAGGTGGAATTACTTGTAGATTCCACATGCTAATTATATAATAGGTTCTTCTTTGAGTTTGTATTTAATAAACTGCATATCATGCTCTCAAAGTTACCATATGTCTAATAGAGAACCTAGTTATTCTCTCTTTCTGGCCACACGGGACTGTTTAAGCCACATTCTTTCTCTAGTTAAAAAATACCTGGGTACGTGGTAGCTGAGAAAGGCTTTCTGTAACATATTACTCAGCACAACCAAAAGTTACTCTTAAATCAGTCACCATAGCAACACAGGTGTAGGGAACTGCCCAGCCTGCCAGGCGGGTAGGATAGGATGAGGTAATGGAGATAAACAAAGGGGATAAATGAAGGCGATCTTCTGCGCTTTACCAAAAAGACAATACCAAGAGGTCAAGCTTTAACAGTGCATTTCCCTTTCTTCAGAAGCAGCACGTCACTAAGGGAGCGGTGGCAACTCCAGTTTGTCTCCGAGGAAGACACCCTGTGGCTTGTACTCCCACAAGCCAGCGGCGCTCGCAAAGCCAGTCGCAGGACACTGCAGGTCGGAGCACCTTGCGTGTCAAGGAGTCGGTCAAGCGCTCCACTCTCTCAGCAACTAAAATGAATGTCAGGTAAAGCAGAGCTCCAAAATGCGATCGAGGACAAGGTCTCAAAGCTTTACTGCTTCTAATACATTTCAGGTAGACTACATCAAATATATTTACACGTTGATGAGAAAGAACGAGAAAGAGGATCGGAACAGAGACAAAGATCAGCAAATGGCTTTTATAAGTTCTGATCTTTTTCTGTAAATTTGTGTTTAGTTTTCTTGTTTTATTCAACTTTCCTAAGCTTACATTTGATTCATAAGTAAAGATAGAAAGAAAGGTATATGTGGATATTTTTTCATTTTATTAGTTTAACATATGCCTACAATGATGTGTAAGGAGAAATTTTTCCATTGACTTAAAGTTGAAGCCAAATTCCTACAGAAAATCTCTCAATGCAGTAAACTAAACAATGGACTCGTCCTAAAGTATAAATACTGTAGCCCAATGGGTATTGCAGCAGCATAGCCATCTCATGCTCATGAATCCCTGTTTTCTTTGCTTGTGCCTTTCCTGACAGGGTAGCTAGCCCTCAACTATGACTGTCCCCCAAATTTTATTCTTATTTAAGGGCATGTGCAGCTTGTTAACACTTCCCCAATATGTGCAATTATCTGACATAGTTTTTACATCTTAAAAATACCCTGAAATTAGAATTCTATTTATTGAGTTAGCTTGGAATATGAGGTACCTATAGTTGGCAGTTCTGATTGTATTTAATACTATTTAAGAACACCATGGACAGGGGCTAGCCCTTGTTTCATTGCAATGTACAGAATAGCCTGGACTTCACACCATCTGTCCTAGCACATCTAGTTTTCTTAATTCTGTTGTAGAGTCTTTGGTAATAGTTTTGGGTGTTGATTCAAGATCACCATCAAGTTTTTGGTTATAAGGCCAAAAATCCTCTTCTGTTAACCTTCCACCACAAACCCTTTGCATATTTTTATCTGTCATTACTAGATTTTCATTGAATCTAAGACACCATCAGTTGAATACTCACCATTATTTTATGAACCAGTGAGAAAAATCACTGCCAACTAACTATGACGTGTTATCAATTATAAAACACATCCCAATTTCAGATGTTAAAATGTAGGGAAACTGCATCAGATAATCAATGAAATTCATTTATGGCAGTTTGCTATGAGTAGAGAATGGGCTTGTGTGCCATTTAAATGATTGACACTAGGAAGATATAAAGTCTGTTCTTACCACTCATTTGGCATAGCAGTCTCCTGTTCCCTCTGACCTGCCATCACCAAGAAAAGAAGAAATAAGGGGAGCTTCTTTGTGTACCTCCTAAATTATAACTTGAGGCCTGTGGGCATCTCTTTTGAGCTCCGCCTTGTATTATCATTGGCCAAGACTGGGAGAGAAGAGATACAAAGCCATATTTTACAAATAACCAAAGTTGATATATGATTTACTTTAGTATCAGTGTTTTAAGAACATATCTATTGTGCAAAAGAGGTTCATTTGTGTAACAGTATTTATTGGGGCCCTTTTGCTGCTTGGTGATGGAAATGATGATTTATAAGCTTGACGCAAGTTACTCATGTCTTGTACTCCACTCCTATTTAGGTTTTCAGCCACTACCAAAGATAATGAGCATAAGCGTTCACTGACCAAGACTCCGGCCAGAAAGTCTCCGCATGTGATCATACCTGGAAGTACCCCAAAAGGCCAGGCTGTGCTTGGGACACACAAGTTAAAGACCACAAAGGGGGATTCTGTTGCAGGTAAAACAAACAAACAAACAAAAACTTTTGGTTCATCTCTAAGCCAGGTAACTTCCTGAAATTACTAAGTATATCTGTTTCCTTAAAGCCTCTGCATATCTATAAAATCAAAAGCAAACATTTCACCATAGCATTTCTTTCATTTTTACTGGCAAGGGAAATGCCAGAGACACAAAACAAAAACCTGCTATCTGCCTAAGGACTCCATCCTGTCCAAAAGAGTCCTGAAATGGTAACCCTCCCTGAAAAGCTTTCAGTCCCTTCTTGGACTTAGTAATGGATTAGGGGGATCACAGCATTATAGCCTCTGAGTGGTCCTGCAGGACTGTGACACTAACAGGATTCCAGAGTTCATGGAGTAAATCCCACACTATTGACTAGTAGACTGTGTAAGACAGCATAAGCCGTAGAGATCCTCTTGTACACACTGTCCACTTCATCATCTACAATGACCAGGCAGTTTTCAAAAGAACTGTAATAGCAGTGGGAAGGTTTAAAACAATATCACCAACAGGTTGAGGCCTGGTTTAGAACTGAGTACACTGAGATTCTCCTGAGAGTCCTGTTGAATATGTCAGTCAAGAGCCTTGATTATATAGAAAGGATTTCCAGATTCCCTGGCAGTAGAGGAATCTAGTGGGACCTTCAGACTAGAGGAGAGGATCGGTGTTGGTAATAGTCAGTATGGAGACTGCTTGAGGATTTCTTCATGCCTTAGAGACCTAAGTTAAAGATTGAATAGAATGAGCCTGACAACGAAATTTCAAGAATCCAGAGGTGAGAATAGTAAGTTTATATGATTCCTCCTCTCTCATTCCCACCCTAACCATTAACTATACCAGCAAACAAACATTCCAAGGAACATTCTAAATCATCCTGATGTATGGGAAGAAAGGGTCTTGGGTAGAGGGCAGAGCTAAAAGATGGAGAGTGGACTTGCCTAAGATATGACACTGTCATTTTACAGAGAGCACCACCCTGAGCTCACTGAGCAGTAGCCACCTGCCTTATAATGAGAAAGGATTCACAAATGCTCACAGATAAGGACATAAGGCAGAAACGAAAGGTTTACCACATTCTGAGCTCTCTCCTCTAAGTAATTCAGGGGTGTTCCCAGTTGAGATTGGCTTTTTTCCCCCAATTATCAAACATGAATTTTATAGAAATAAAATCAAACTGTGATTTTTTTTTCCTGTGATTCGCTTTGTTCACTCAGCATAATGTTTCAAGAATCATCCTATTGATAAATGAGCTAAAGTTCATTTTCTTTGGTATGGTTAATTTCAGTTATCAATTAAATAACTATTTCCATTGTAATTTTACTGCTTGTGGACATGTGGGTATTTTCAACTTTTGTTATTACATATGGTGTAGCTATGGCCATTCTTGAACATGTCTCCTGTACATGTGCAAGGGTTTCTCTAGACCTAGGGGTGGGACTGCTGGTTAGAAGAGTATGTAGACATTTACTGCACTAGTTGAATTGTACCAATTTATACTGTCATCAACACTGTGTGGCAGCCCCGTTCCCCTCCCTCACACCACTTGATATCCATAGCTTAAGCACAGACATTTTGTGCTTTTCTGTTTTGTTTAACTAGGTAGTCCTAGATCCTGGTTGCTCGATCACATACAGGCAAGTGGTAACATTTGACAATGGCCTGAATGCCACCTGTGAGTGGAAATGATTATGAAATGTGTGGCACATATATGGTGCCCAACTGTAGCAAAAATTTTGGCTTACTAAATTATACCATCCTGGTATATTTTTAACTTTTATGGTATAAAACTTCATTCTTAAATAACAGCCATTATTAATAACAAGCAGAGCCATGAATCTTGTCATGTGATTAGGTTCTAATGTGATTAGGTTCCTTGCAGGCTTATATCTGTGTTAATGAAAATGTTACTGTTAATAATATATCATTTTTAAGAAGGATAACATCAGGGAAACAGCCTGAAAAATTACCCAGTTAATTCTTTAAACAGGATTCTAAACTCCTTGCTGATCCTAGGAAATGTTGTAATGTTCAGACTGTTTGGGGAGCTGCTAACAAAGAGGAAACAAATCTCACTAGTTAGCTTTTCTCAGTTAATTTTTTCTTCCCTTTTCTCCTTTTTAACCCTACATCTTGTTTCAGATTATTCATATAGATTATATTTTTAAGATCAAGAAGTGATACTTTGATAAACTATAACAGGATAGCAGGTATTTTTTTCTCCTAATTAAGCTCTTGGGTTTTGTGTGTCGGCTTTTTTTAGTTAACACCCCTTTCAAGCTGACGGCTGAAGCAGCACAGACTCCAGGCTCCCATAGGAAACCAGTGTTTGATCTCAAAGCAAGTCTGTCTCGTCCCCTCAACTATGAGCCACACAAAGGTATGTGGGGATGTTTTGAGGTACAAGACATGCAAAGATTAACCAATTCTGCATCTGAGGATGGAAAATTCTAGTGACTCAGTGGCAGCCATATGTGACCACCTACAATTGCTGTCCCCACATCCCTATGACCCATAATTAAAAAGAATGTCCATTAAAGAAATACTCAATAATTGATTCACTTTTTTGTTAATCAAAGATATAATTTCTAATCAATGTTACTATAAAGAATTAATAAAATTTTAGCCAAAATCAAGAAACTTAGAAGCTATAAAGAATGTTCTCTTTACAGCTTTCAAAGGATCCCAGGCTGGCTGGGAACCACCAGTCCAACAACCTGGGAAATTTATTGGCCAGATGTCACTCTTGGGCTTATATTATAGTAACCTTATATCTATTTAAAATATCAATACATAATGTGATCCATCTTTCAGTACTTTTGGAATTACTTTAAAACAGAAAAACTTCCTATAAGAATCATGATTATGTAACAATGTCTTTAAATTACTAATGTCAATATAACAATGAAAACAAAAAGTTTATTTAGCAGTTAGAGTCAACTAAACTGTGGTAAAAATCTTCTCACACACCCCATTTTTTCTCCCCAAGTTTTCTCATATTTGGCAGTGACACCTCTGTCTACTACGTTGTTTAGACAGAAACCTTAGGTGTCCTCTTTGTCCCCTCATTCTCTCTTAGACCCCATATCCAGCCTATCAGCTATTCCTTTCACCTCTACCTTTGAAAAAGATCTTTAATCCCCTTTGACTCCCTTTGGTCCAAGTCGTTATCATCTCTTACCTAGGCTTCTAGAATAGCCTCTTTGCCCCCACTACAACCTTAAAAATAAACCAGAGCGCATCACTGCCTTGCTCAGAACCTCCTAAGGTTTCTCATCTCTCTCCCCACCTGTAGTTGCCTCCTCCCTTCCCTGACTTTGTGCCAAACACAGTGGTGTTTCAGCTCCTCAAACACACCAAGCTAATTCCCACCTCTGGATCTTTGAACTTGTTATCCCTCTGCTGCACCTGGAATACCTATGTTCCAGCAGACCTTTTGCAGAGCTGCTCCCTCATGTTAATGGGGCATGTACCTCAGCTGTCACTGACTCAGGCCTTTCCTCCCCC